AAGCACACAAGGATCATGTATAAAAACTAACCAAAAAACACTTCATTAATTAGATCTCTATACATTTCAAAGAATCAATGATATAGAGACCACATATTTGATCCCAATGCAATAAAATGAAAAATAAACAAACAAAATAATTATAAAACTACATACATTTTGAAATTTAGAAACACACTTCTAAATAACTCATGGGTCAAAAAAGAATTCAAAATGGACTTTTAAAATACTTAGAGCAAGGGAGAATTTCCAGGTCTGAAAAATAATGGCAGCTGCCTGAATCTGTTTAGTTTTATACCTCATCTCCAAAATCACTGATTTGAGAAGGCAAGCAAATAAAGCCACCCACGATCCACTCCTTCATATTACCAGGAGACAGAGACTACCGAAAACTTTAACTATAAGTTAAAAAACAAGCACCACGTTCCAACAGAGCTCTTGCTGCTGCTGAACATCTGTAGGGTAAAGTGTAAAAAAGAGAAGACAAGAGAATCTATGAAAAGGGAAAAAGGGAGAAAAGGGCATAGACAAAACGCTACAAAACCACTGCCAGAAAAAGTTTGACAATAAGTGCAAAATACTGAGCACAGATCTGGAACATAGTAGCTCATAGCATCAGCCAAGGGAAAGGGGCTTAAAAATGATCAAGACTGGAATTGGCAGTTTCAGAGAAGCAGAGCTTATAAAAGGTAATTAGATAATCAGATAAATAGAGATTAATAATGTCTTTTGTAGTTGTGACAATGAGGGAAAAGCTTAAGTTAGAGAAGAAAAATACTGATCCAGCAGAGATAAAAATTGAACAAGATATACCAAGATATTCCACTCCTCTCATCATCTATAAAGAAACTGAACTTCACTAAACTGACAGAAGAGGGTACACTTAAATTATGCACCTGTATACATGATACTTTGGGAAAAATAAAAAATGAAAAATAAATCAAACCAATGCTGTGCAAGACTACTAGCAAATAGAAATTCTCCTCCTGACAAAACCCACCAAGTAGAAGAAACTAATAACAAAATTTTTCCTTCTGAATTAAACACACTTCAAAAGCCATCTGAAGACTCCAAAATGCTGGAATCAGAAATTCAAAAACTAAAAACAGAAATGAATAAAATGTGAGAAGAAAATGTAATAAGAGTTGATTAAACTGAGGAAAGAAATGGAAGAAAAAGGCAATAGCATTTTATAAATAAAGAATAAATTACTAGTTATGCAAGAAGAAATACATTTGAATGAAAAATTTCTTAAAAACTGAAGGGCAGAAAAAACCCAAAATAATAAAAATGCAATAATGAAAGAAGTAAAATAATTTTGAAAAAACGTGATCAAAATGGAAGACGGTCAAAGAAAGTTCAGTCTGCATATAATTGGAGTCCCTGGAAAAAGAAAAACAAAGCATAGGAGCAAAACAAAAACTTAAAACAGTTTCCAAGAAAGTTGTCCTGATATAAAAGAAAATGAAATAATTGAAATGGCCCATCATATTGTCGAGAACTGTGAAGGGCCTTATATTTTATTCTGCTTATAAGCTAACGAATGAGCTTGCCACGGTTGTGTGGATATCAGCAGAAAAGGAGAGACTCCTGAGTCAGAGAGAAAATAAAATACGTTACTCACAGCACTAGCAGTACACAAGTAATGTCATTTTTATACTTTTTTCCCCAAGCCCCAGTGTTCACAGAGCGATGTAAAGAGGGCCAGAGGACATTAGCACAATGTTATAGGAGAGAGCCCTGCACTTAGGGAACCCAAATCTTTTATAATGGGTAGGAAGCATTTCTTCCCTTTGCTCCATTATATTACACAGTAAGCTTGTCTTCCCTTGGTTTTGGACAAGATACCATCTCTATCTTCTGAGGCTGTTTGCTATACAAACTCCCTTGAAAAGACAGACTGAGCAAATAATAATAAGTGCCTCACTCACAATCTGATGGAACCATGAACAATCCATGGAGAATTGTCTGCCAGCACACATACTTGGAAACTTACTCCAGAATTATAAAATCGCAAACCTGAGACATATACTAGTAAAACTACTACTAGACTTTTAAAGACACACACACACACACAAATCCTCATGGCTTCTAAGCAAAACTATCAAATTATTCAAATACATGCAAAAAATTTAAGCTTCATGTATCCTTAAGAACAGCATACAAAGGGAGGCAGCAACAGAATGACATTATTTGGAAAGAAGATCAATGCAGATATAATCAGTTAAGATAAGGTTATACTGGGGTAGGGTGGGCCCTTAAGCCAATATGACAGGTGTCATTATAGAAAAAGGAGAGGCACAGAGACACAGACACAAGGAGTGGGGGAGAATGCCATGTGCCAGTGGAGGCAGAGACTGAAGGATGCAGCTTCAAACCAAGGAACATCAAGGATTGCCAGCAAAACACCAGAAGCTAGAAGGAGGTAAGGAAGGATTCACTCCTACAGATTTTAGAGGGATCCTGGCCCTGTTAAGACCTTGATCTCAAGCTTCTAGCCTGCAGAACAAATTCTGTTGCTTGAGGCCACCCAGATTGTGGTACTTTTTTACAAAGCTCAAGAAACGCATACAGATGGATACTTCCCTAACATAATGAACCATATAAAGCTCAAATCCAAAAGCCAGACTCTTACTCAATGGGGAAAAACTAGAGGCATTCCTGCTAAAGCAAAGATGCCCACTAACTTCAATATGATTTAACATGGTCCTTGAGGTATTAGCCAATGTGATTAGATATGAGTAATATTTAAAGGTGTAAGAATTAGAAAATAAGTAAAACTATATTTATACATACTTACTCTAAGACAGCAATCACACTCTAGGACATTTATTACAGAAAAATGAAAACGTGTTAACATGAAAACCTACACATGACATGCATTGCAGCTTTGTTTGTAATAGCCAAAACCTGGAAACAGCCAAAATGTCTTTTAGTAGGTGAATGGTTAAACATACTGTGGTATATTTGTACCTCTTTATACTACTCAGCAAGAAAAATAAGCAAACAATTGATACACGCAACAACTTAGATGAACCTCCAGGGCATTATGTTACGTGAAAATACCAATCTTAAAAGGTTGTAAGATTGGTTCTTCTTATATAGTATTCTTCAAATGACAAAATCAAGCATTGTTCTTTGGAAAGACGACCAAAATAGATAAAATTTAGGTAAGAATGATCAAGAAAAAAGTAAGAGGCACAAATAAACAATATTATTAATTAAAAAGAGAACAATTACAGACTCTGCAGATATTTAAAAGATAATAAGCACATGCTATGAATAACTTTATTCTTATTGATTTGAAAATTTAGACAAAACTGTCAATTTATTGGAAAATGGCACTCACCAATACTGACACAAGAAGAAACAGAAAATCAAAATTGTCTGATAATGATTGAAGTTCAGCTAATTCTAGTTGTCATGGTATTTGTGTTCTATAAAGTTGCTGTAAACACTGAAATAGTGAATACTGAACAGGGAAGACAGAGGGTTAGGTTCCTGTGAGCCTTTGGTCCAGCATTCTTGTCAACTAAAACTCCATTTGCAGTATATACATTCATTCACCATTGTCCTTTTTAAACAAGCTGGTCTCATCAACATTGAAAACCTGCTCTGCCAGGTGATCATTTTCCTGTATAACACTTGGCAGGTGTTTTCAAATTTCTTCTACAGGTTCCTGCTCTGCAGAACCTGCCTTATCTGCAACTTTAACATTTTTTACAATGTGTTGTCTTTTGAAATGTGTAATCCAATGGCAAGGGTTTAACATTTTCTTGACATAGATGACATGACTATATTTTCTTTTCCTTTCAGCCTTACAACAATGCTGTAACTAAGCTTTTTAAAAAAATCCATTGTAGTGACATGAATCCACAAATTTAGCTTCTTTCCATCTTTCCTATAACTTCATTAAGCGTTATAGATGTTACTTTAGCACTTTCTGGGGCAGCATCACACACAGATCAATGAATTTCCTCTTCCTTTTTTTTTTTTTTGGATGTACTATTTTGTTGATTTAGTAACACTGAACTCACAGCCAACAACCTACAACTCATGCCTGAATGAAGCTTATCTAACACATGTATTTTCTCTGTAATGCACATAACAGCTCTCTTGCACTTAGAAACACTAGACAGCACTTTAATGCCATGCTTAGTGGCCATTTTAAACAGCAAAATCAGCAACAAAAACCCCCAAATGTGAAAAATGTGGTACTAAATTGATTACAGAAAAGGTATTTGTTTATAGTATGACGGTTGAGACAAGAAGGTAGGGCATCACCTTGTTCAACTTCAGCTGGGAGTATGTGTGTTGGGTGACTCAAATTTTTCACCACTTTGAACATGTTTATAAATGACCACAAAAGCACTACAAATATTGACTTGGGGATTACAAATGCATTTTAGCAAGTAGTCAAATTGGCAAATACAGAGTTTGCAAATAATGACCATCGACTGTAATTGAATCAGTAACTTAAAATCTATCAACTAAGAAAACCTAAGAACAAAAAGCCAAACCAAGCTCAGGGGATTTTATAGTAAGTCTATCAAGCTTTTCTGTAACATCAGCTGTTCCAGAGAAAAGGGTGGGGAAAAGGGACTAATCCCCCAACTCATTAATGAGACTGGTATCACCTCAATACTAAACAAGATAAAGACTGTAAAAGAAAGAAAAATTACGAGCCAGTAGCACTCAAGAAAATAGGTTGAAAATTTAAACAAAATACTAGAAATCTGAACCCAAAGGCAAGTAGGAAAAAATACAGCATGATCAAGTTAGTTTTATCCCAAGGATGCGTGACTGACAATGTTGTAAAATTATTTATGAAATTTACTACACTCACAGGTTAAAGGGGTGAAAACATATAATCATCATGCATATATTAAAAATCCTACAAAAATCATACAGAATATGTATATATGTATGTATGTATGTTCAAAACACCTACTGGAAGCATCGTGAAATCTGGTGAAACATTAGAAGCAATACATTTAAAATTAGGAATGGGAAAAGGATGCCCCATCACCACTTTTATTTAACATTTTACAAGAGGTTGTGGTTCACACATGAAGACCAGCAAAAGAAAAGGTAATTGTAACAGAAGAAAAGAAAATTACTATTTGAAAGTTACGTAATTATCTACATAAAAACATTATAATTAATATGATGGATGGCTGTTAGACACAAATGTACAAAAATTAGATGCACTCCTATTTACCAGCAACGAATAGTCAGAAAATGCAATTTAAAAAATACAAATTTCAGTGGGAACAACAACAAAAATGTAAGATATAAAAGAATAAATCTAAGAACAAATGTTTGTGACCTTTCTGAAGAAATTATTAAACTTTATTCAAACACATTGAAAGGTTCCTAAATAAATGGAATGATACATCACATTCGTGGATAGGAAAACTCAATATCATAAATACAAATTATCCTCAAAGTATTCTATAAATCAGATTCTTTATAGGGTTAACTTTGGAATTTGCTGGCTTGATTGTATAATTTACGTGGAAGAACATTCATCCCAGATAATGGGATAAGAATGGGCCAAGAATAGTCAAACTGACTTTGAGGAAGGATAAGTGGTGGCAACTCATCCTAGCACATAACAATAATTCTTAAAAAGTTACAGTAATAGAGACAGTTTGCTATTGGTGTGGGGCGGAGCAAATAGACTGATGGAGCATGCAGCTCAGAAAGAGTCAGACATGTATGGGAAAGTTGCTTTGTGGTAGAGGTGACATTTTTGATCAATGGGAAAAGGAAAGGCTATTCAATTAACAATATGAAGTCAATTGTTATTTATATGGAAATAAAGTGAAATTCAATTCCTACTTGACAATATAACCAAAAACTATTCTAGGTCAATTTAAAACAAAAATTTTAAAAAACACATTCAATATTTTAGAAGGAGATATAGAGAAATTTTTCATGGCTTTAGGGTTGAGAAGGATTCCTGATGCAAAACACAATAAGCACAAAATCTAATAAGAAAGATTGGTGATTTCAATTCAATTGCAATTAAAAACTTGTGATTGTCAAAAGATCATACAAAGGTGAATTGATAAGCCAGAGAAGATATTTGTAATATACCCAAACAATAAAGGATTCAAATCCAGATTATATAAATAACCTCTACGAACAGAAAAGCAAAACACAATCCAAGAAAAAAAGAAGATATAAATAAGTAATTTACAAAAGAGTAAAGCAAAGCAAGTGGTCAATGCATATACAAAAAGGTGCTCCACCATACCAGAGGGCAGATCATTCAGTTATCACTTGTTGTCTAGTGGCTCAAAGAAACCACTCTTTTACTCTTTTTCTTTATTCTGTGGGTTAGAAATTTGGAAAGGGCTTAGTGGGGACAGCTTATCTCTGCTCCACACAACATCTGCTGAGTCTGCAGGGGCAATGTGGCTTCTTCTCATGCCTGGCACCTTAGATTGGATGGCTAGCAGCAGGAAGACAGCTGGAATGGCTCAATGCAAGTATTTGGCTGCGGCTGCTGTTAGAGGTTTGGGTTAGGTTCCTCATTTCTCCACGTGGTCTTGGAGCCTCTCCTTCCCCACGTCACCTCTCCAAGTGGCCTCTCACTGTGGTTTTCCCATGCGGTCTCTCAAGGCTTAGACCCAGCTCTTGCCCTGTGTCATTTCTGCCATATTGTACTGGTTAAGGCAGATCACAGAGATCATCTAGGTTCAAGGAGAGGGGTTTAAATGAGAGCAAGAATGCTGGAAAGTGTGATTCCCTGGAGGCCACCAAAGTGACAGTCTACCAAAAACAAAAAATGAAATTGTGATCAGATAAAATTTCACACCACCAGGATGGCAAAAATTAAACAGAATATTAAGAGTTACTGAGTTGCTTCACTTAGAATAATAGTCTCCAATCTCGTCCAGGTCACTGGAAATGCTGTTAATTCATTCCTTTTTATGGCTGCATAGTATTCCATCGTGTGTGTGTGTGTGTGTGTGTGTGTGTGTGTGTGTGTGTGTGTTCTGTCTCCTCTTCTGCCATTACATTTTGGGAAGTGGGGTAGGTATACACACACACACACACACCACAATTTCTTTATCTACTCGTTGATTGATGGGCATTGGGGTTGGTTCCATGATTTTGCAGTTGTGAATTGTGCTGCTATAAACATGCATGTGCAAGTATCTTTTTTAAATAATGACTTCTTAACCAGTAGTGGAATTGCTGGATAAAATGGTAGTCCTACTTTTAGTTCTTTAAGGAATCTCCACACTGTTTTCCACAGTGGCTGTTCTAGTTTACACTCCTCAGGAATGGAAAACAAAATATCGTATGTTCTCACTGATATGTGGGAGTTAAGCTATGAGGACACAAAGGCGTAAGAATAATACAACAGACTTTGGGGGCTTGGGGGGAAGAGTGGGAGGGGACAAGGTATAAAAGACCACAAATACTGCTCAGGTGATGGGTGCACAAAAATCTCACAAATCACCACTAAAGAACTTACTCAGGTAACCAAACATCACCTGTACCCCAATAACTAATGGAAAAAAAGAATAAAGAACCTATAAACTTAGAAGACATATAACCCAATTTAAAATGGGCAAAAGATCTGAATAGCATTTCTCTAAAGAAGATGTGCAAATGGCCAAAAAGCACATGAAAAGATGCTCAGCATCATTAGTCACTAGGGAAATGAAAATCAAAACCATGTGACATACCATTTTATACCCTCTTGGGTGGCTATAATAAAAAATAACCCAGATAACAGGTGCTGATGAGGCCAGGGAGAGTTTGGAACCCTCATACACTGTTGGTGGGAATGTAAAATGGTGCAGCCACTTTGGAAAACAGTATGAGACTTTCTCAATAGGTTAAATATAATGTTACCATGTGGGCCAGAGATTCTTCTCCTAGGTATACACCCCAAATAATTTAAACAGATGTTCACACAAAATTTATACAAGGATGTTCATAGCAGTATTATTGATAGTGGCCTTAAAGTGGAAACAGCCCAAAGTCCATCAACTGATGAATGTATAAGTAAAGGTGATATCTATAGAAAAAAGAATTATTGAGGATGTGGAGTCATTGGAACACTTACGCGTCATTGCTGTAGGTATGAATTAATTCAGTCACTTTGACAAGTTATTTTAAATTGAAGATGTGTGTACCCTATGGCCCATCAAATTCTTCCACTCAGCAATAAAGAAACTCTTATATATATACCGGGAGATTATAAATGTTCACAGTAGCATATTTATAATAGCAAACACCTGGAAACAATCTGTATGTCCATCAACAGAAAAATTGATAATGCACTATACATACTATAAAATGATAAAAGTTAATGAACTAGTTACACACATCGACAGGGATGACTCTCATAAACATAATGTTGAACAAAGACAGCAATCTATAGAATATTTATGTACAATATGATACCATGTACACGAACTTTAAAAACATGCAAATCAATGCTTTTTTTTTTTTTTTTTTTTTTTTTTTTGCTAAGGGACACATGCATAGCAAAATTGATTCATGAGAATGACATATACAAAATCCAGGTTGTGGTTATACGGGTGGAAGCAGACACTCAGGAAGTCACACAAAAATTGTACAAAAACTGCACTAAGTAATTCAGTAGCTGGGTTGTCAAGTGTTTTTCCACAGCACGTTTCAAGTGTTAGACAATGCCCATCACCTCCTATGACAGATGAGGACACTGGTGCACTTGCTCTTTTTCTCCTTCCCTTTCCTTCCAGAAGGAAAAATTAGAGGCACCTCCCAGCTGTCTCATGGATACCCCATCCACTGTCCTCCACTAGCCTGCAGATTGCTGTCTCCTGGGCCAGGACATTGAGCATTTGAGGCTCAGATCCCCAAGTTACTCCCTAGGGATCTCTAACACTCCTGCCTTCCAGGTGCCCAGGGTACACAGTCCAGTGACCCCTTTCAGGTTCTGATATTTATCTTGCTCTTCTGTCTCCTCTTCTGCCATTACATTTTGGAAAGTGGGGTAGGAGCACATGTTCTTATCTTTTCTTTTCTTTTGTTTTGTTTTTTTTTCTTTTTTGAGATGAAGTCTCTCTTTGTCGTCCAGGCTGGAGTGCAGTGGTGCAATCTCAGCTCACTGCAAGCTCTGCTTCCCCGGTTCACAATATTCTCCTGCCTTAGCCTCTCGAGTAGCAGGGACTACAGGAGCCCACCACTATGCCCGGCTAATTTTTTGTATTTTTAGTAGAGACGGGATTTCACCGTGTTAGCCAGGATGATCTCGATCTCCTGACTTGATGATCCGCCCACCTTGGTCTCCCAAAGTGCTGGGATTACAGATGTGAGCCACCGTGCCCCACCTTTTTCTCTTCTTTCCTGTCCTACATCCGACCTTGGATTCTTACCACTCAGTGTGGTCAGCCAGCCAGCAGCCTGAACATTTCCTGGGAGCTCTTGATCCCCAGGTTGTTCCTTAGCACATTAAAGTTGAGAAACACTGATTTAGAACTCAAAGCCAAGATTTTGTCTTCTTTGCTCACAGGTCCCTCCAAGCTGACTCTCCTAAAGCAACGAGGGCCGACCTCAGGGAAAAGGTTCAAATGAGTACACCTCAGAGGAGAAGGAGTTCAGCAGTGGAGGGGTGTACACATAATTTAATATTTTTCAACATCTTCCATCATATTTTGCTCCTTTCATCTTGTTTCTTGGTGCACTTTTGTCAAGGTCCTGTGCTGGTCCTTGTCTGGAAGTTACTCATCAACCTTCTGTGTTATTTAAGGAAGAATGGTGGTGGAAAGGGTTGGGGAGTGCAAGCTGAGGGCAGCTGCAAATTTCAATTTATATATTGTAACATTCAAAACCCTCTCAACAGATGGGTGGTGGTTGTGTACTCCTATGTCCCCACTCAGTTTTCAGAGGGCTATTTCTGCCCTTCTCTGCCCTTCTTCATCCCTTCTGCCCCACAGGGCCAAGACAACCAAGACCCATAGTCCAGCCTGAAGACTTGGTTTCTTTGGTCTGCACCTTGTTTTATCTCCTGTGAAAAATATAAGCCAGGAGGTTTTACACTCAGTTCTCGAGCATCTGAAGATCTAACAGCTGATCTGAAGAGCTGAGGCCCCCTCATTCCTTCCTAGCTTTAGTCACAGTTGTTAGGTGTAGAGGGTGAGGCACTATCTCCTTTAATTGGTGGTGTCCTCCCCCTGGTCAGTCTCCCTCACACACCTGTGCACAGCTCCCTGCTCCTGCTTCCCCCTATGCCTGGCCAGCCCCTGTGGATGCTTGAGTCCTCGCTCTGATCCAATTAATCAAACAGTGCCATGTCCTTTCAAGGAAATGTCTATCAGGTGTGTGTGGTTCTCAACATTCATACTTGCTCCAGCTTTTTTCATTTTTAGCATTGATCTAAACAATCGTTGTCCTTTGAGGTTTATGCCTTTACTGCATGCTTAGAAAGGCTTAACCAACAAGTGATTTTAAAAAGATATATTTACCTCTTTTTTCCAGTCATGGTTTTGCTTTTCCATTAAACACATCTAAATCCTTATGGATGTTTGTGTCCGTTTCTGGGATTGTTTGCTCCCGTCTGCAGTGTACACCTCAGACCCTCAGGGGCTCAGCCTCACCCTAGCCCCTCTGAGGGGATCTGTGTTTCTTTCCAAGGAAGCTCACACTTGGCTGGAGGAAGACTAGCCAGAGACTCCAAAGGGGAGTGGGAAACAGTGAGCAAGTGGCCTGTGGAGAGATCTGAGAGACCTGTGTGTGTGTGTGTGTGTGTGTGTGTGTGTGTGTGTACGTGCGTGCAGGGGTACAACCATTGCAATGCAGTTTTAACTTGATTCCATGTATTCCTTAATTTAGATAATAGGAGGCCATGCTAGGGAAGTGGCAATTTGGGAAGAAGCATTCTGCTAGGGGCCTAAGCAACTCTGTAGGCTCCACTACTTCTCTCTCTTCAAGACAAAGCATCGGGAAGGAAAGGAAAGGAATGAATATCAGGCTGGAGTACGGTGGCATGGTCACAGCTCACTGCATCCTTGAACTCCTGGACTCATGTGATCCCCCTGCCTCAGTCTCCTGAATAGCTGGTATTACAGGCATGTGCTACCATGCCTGGCTAATTTTTAAAATTATTTTTGTAGAGATGGGGTCTCACCTTCTTGCCCAGGCTGGTCTTGAACTCCTGGGCTCAAGCAATCCTCCCTGCCCTGCCTCCTAAAGTGCTGGAATTAGTGGTGTGAGCCACTGTGCCTGGCCTACTTACATACTCTTTAACGAGTTCTGTGTATTTGTCTAATGCACGTTATCCTCTGTTACCTGGACAGAAATACCAACACCCTCATCTTTTCTAAAAAACCAGCCTTATTGAGGTATGAACACATCCAATAAAATGCATACTGTAAAGCATATAATTTGGGCCGGGCGTGGTGGCTCAAGCCTGTAATCCCAGCACTTTGGGAGGCGGAGACGGCAGATCACGAGGTCAGGAGATTGAGACCATCCTGGCTAACATGGTGAAACCCCATCTCTACTAAAAAATACAAAAAAACTAGCTGGGTGAGGTGGCGGGCGCCTGTAGTCCCAGCTACTCGGGAGGCTGAGGCAGGAGAATGGCGTAAAGCAGTGAGCTGAGATCCGGCCACTGCACTCCAGCCTGGGCGACAGAGCGAGACTCTGTCTCAAAAAAAAAAAAAAAAAAAAAGCATATAATTTGATGTTTGATGTTTTGACATATGTATACACCCATGGAATCGTCTCCACAATCAAGATAGTGAACATACCTATCACCCCAAAGAATTTCCTCCTGTCCCTTTGTAATTCTCCCCTCCCCTGCTTCTCTGCTTTTCCTCCTCTCACCAGCTAGCACTTCCCGCTGTTGCCTGGAAACTTTCTCCAAGCATTAAACTTGGATGATCATAGGATGGCCAAAGTTGTTTTCGGCCTCTCAGGGATAACCCTTCTTTGTTACCCAGTGCCCAATGTCCCAAGTACCATTGTTTTGTATATGTTGTCTGGACTTTCAGTTGTTTCAGCTCAGAGAGCAAACCTGGTTTCTGGTATTCCATCCTGAATGGAAAAGGAATTCCAACCTGTTCATCTTGCATGATTCTCTGTAATTTCATGAGTAAATGGTGCATTCTCTCCTTCAATTCATAAAGTCTGAACAATGTTGTGGCTGATCATCCTGAGTATCCGTTATGGGAAAGATACTTTTACTCATCCAGTCATCCAACAAAAATCTTTGAGAATGTCTGCATTGCAGAGTTTTCTTTATTATTATTATTATACTTTAAGTTCTAGGGTACATGTGTACAACGTGCAGATTTGTTACATAGGTATACATGTGCTATGTTGGTTTGCCGCACCCATTAGCTAGTCATTTACCTTAGGTATTTCTCTTAATGCTATCCCTCCCCTAGTCCTCCACCCTACAACAGGCCCCGGTGTGTGATGTTTCCCGCCCTGTGTCCAAGTGTTCTCATTGTTCAGTTCCCACCTATGAGTGAGAACATGCGGTGTTTGGTTTTCTGTCCTTGTGAGTTTTCTCAGAATGATGGTTTCCAGTGTCATCCATGTCCCTGCAAAGGACATGAACTCATCCTTTTGTATGGCTGCATAGTATTCCATAGTGTATATGTGTCACATTTTCTTTTCTTTTTTTTTTAATTATACTTTAAATTCTAGGGTACATGTGCACAACATGCAGGTTTGTTACATATGTATACATGTGCCATGTTAGTTTGTTGCACCCATTAACTCATCATTTATATTAGGTATTTCTCCTAATGCTATCAATCCCCCATCCCCCCACCCCACGACAGGCTCCAGTGGGTGATGTTCCCCACCCTGTGTCCAAGTGTTCTCATTGTTCAACTTCCACCTGTGAGTGAGAACATGCAGTGTTTGGTTTTCCGTCCTCGCGATAATTTGCTGAGAATCATGGTTTCCAGCTTCATCCATGTCCCAAAGGACATGAACTCATCTTTTTTTATGGCTGCATAGTATTCCATGGTGTATATGTGCCACATTTTCTTAATCCAGTCTATCATTGATGGACATTTGGGTTGGTTCCAAGTCTTTACTATTGTGACTAGTGCCTCAATAAACATAAGTATGCATGTGTCTTTATAGGACTATGATTTATAATCCTTTGGGTATATACCCAGTAATGGGATCACTGGATCAAATGGCATTTCTAGTTCTAGATCCTTGAGGAATCGCCACACTGTTTTCCACAATGGTTGAACTAGTTTACAGCCCTCCAACAGTGTAAAAGCATTCCCATTTCTCCACATCCTCTCTGGCATCTGTTGTTTCCTGACTTTTTAATGATTGCCATTCTAACTGGTGTGAGATAGTATCTGATTGTGGTTTTGATTTGCATTTCTCTGATGACCAGTGATGATGAGCATTTTTTCATGTGTCTGTTGGCTGCATAAATGTCTTCTTTTGAGAAATATCTGTTCATATCCTTTGCCTACTTTTTGATGGGATTGTTTGCTTTTTTCTTGTAAATTTATTTAAGTTCTTTGTAGATTCTGGATATTAGACCTTTGTCAGATGGGTAGATTGCAAAATTTTTCTCCCATTCTGTAGGTTGCCTGTTCACTCTGATGGTAGTTTCTTTTGCTGCGCAGAAGCTCTTTAGTTTAATTAGATCCCATTTGTCTATTTTGGCTTTTGTTGTCATTGCTATTTTTAGTCATGAATTCCTTGCCCATGCCTCTGTCCTGAATGGTATTGCTTAGGTTTTCTTCTAGGGTTTTTATGGTTTTAGGTCTAACATTTAAGTATTTAATCCATCTTAAATTACTTTTTGTATAAGACATAAAGAAGAGATCCAGTTTCAGCTTTCTACATATGGCTAGTCAGTTTTCCCAGCACCATTTATGAAACAGGGAATCCTTTCCCCATTTCTTGTTTTTGTCAGGTTTGTCAAAGATCAGATGGTTGTAGATGTGTGGTGTTATTTCTGAGGCCTCTGTTCTGTTCCTTTGCTCGATATCTCTGTTTTGGTACCAGTACCGTGCTGTTTTGGTTACTGTAGCCTTGTTAGTATTGGGGATATAGTGATGAGCGAGACAGACATTGTCCCTGCCATCAGGGAAACCACTGCCAAGTAGCAGGCAGTGATCACTAAACAGGGAATCCTAATTCCGAAAAGCACATTATAGGCAATCGCAATGTTCTATGGGAGTGTATGTTCACAGACTGTGGCAGGTGTGTTTAGAGCCCCACTTCACACCCCTTGCCCACCTGATTTTGGTTGCAGCAGTAGTGAAAAGTTCCACGTGAGCTCAGACTCAAGCTGACAGTCCCACCTTTAGTGTACCTTGTACTTTTCTGCTTCTCTGCTTCAGGCCTTCCCTGAAGTTTCAGAAACCCACACACCTGCAAACAAGAGCAACTCTGAAGTGCAGTCTGGAAGAAAGAAGGAGAGAGTTAATGGCCATATCAGCCCTTAACCTATGGGAAGTGGGAACTGTGATAAATGACCTTCCTTCCTTCCTTCCTTCCTTCCTTCCTTCCTTCCTTCCTTCCTTCCTTCCTTCCTTCCTTCCCTTCCTTCCTTTCTTCCTTCCTTCCTTCCTTCCTTCCTTCCCTTCCTTCCTTCCTTCCTTCCCTCCCTCCTTCCTTCCTTCTTTCTTTTTCCTTCCTTCCTTCCTTCCTTCCTTCCTTCCTTCCTTCCTTCCTTCCTTCCTTCCTTCCTTCCTTCCTTCCTTCCCTCCTCCTCCTCCTCCTCCTCCTCCTCCTCCTCCTCCTCCTCCTCCTCCTCCTCCTCCTCCTCCTCCTCCTCCTCCTCCTCCTCCTCCTTCTTCTTCTTCTTCTTCTTCTTCTTCTTCTTCTTCTTCTTCTTCTTCTTCTTCTTCTTCTTCTTCTTCTTCTTCTTCTTCTTCCTCTCTCTCTCTCTCTCTGAGTCTCTCTCTGTCACCCAGGCTGGAGTGCAGTGGTGTGAATTCGGCTCGCTGAAACCTCTGCCTCTTGGGTCAAAGCAATTCTCCTGTCTCAGTCTCCTGAGTAGCTGGGACTACAGGTGCCCACCACCATGCCCAGCTAATTTTTGTCTTTTTAGTAGAGACGGGGTTTCACCATATTGGCCAGGCTGGTCTCAAACTCCTGATCTTGTGATCCTCCCGCTTCAGCCTCCCAAAGTGCAGGGATTACAAGCATGGGCCACCACTCTTGGCCCCCACTTTCTATATTTTGGATGATAGTTCAGTGGGGGTAGGGTGGGAGTTAGGCAGCATTTTGTGTACTTCTCAGAGGTTCCGCAAGACATAGTCCCACTCCTTACAGCAACAGTTATACTGGTGTTTCCTGTTTTCTGTCTTGCCTTTACCAAATCTTCTCTCTCCTACTCCCTAGGATCACTTCCTAAATAAATTTCCTGTACCCAAATCCTTGTCTCAGGCTCTGCTTTCAGGGAGGCTCAAACTAAGACGTATATTTATCTAAATTAGTACAACAATTCCTGGGAGGTTTTCTTAAGAGCCCATTTTACACATGATAAAACTGAGTCTTGGAGTGTTTTTTCTTTTTTTTTAAGATCAAAGGGCTAGAAGGTAGTAGAACTATAATTCAACACAGGTCATCAGACTCCAACTTTACTGTTCTTTCTACATATACTGAATGCTGTGCAGAAGACATGCCATCATGAGCATGGGTCCAGGTGAGCTCAGTGAGCTTGCTATGAGACCTCCAGGGGCCCAGTAATTCCACTGTAGTAACAGTAAACCCAACAGTAAAAAGAAGCCCCCATGCCTGTATGCTGGTGTGTGTCCAGGGATCTTGTGATGACTGATGGGCAGTGCTGAAGTCCTGGCTTTGAATCAGGTGCCACATATATGCAGGGTACTAGGGTTCTGAAGTGCAAACATGTGACCCTGTCCTCAAAGAGCCTGAAGTCTAGAGACAGAGAGCAATAGGCTGACAGCTAAGTACAACAGGGATGTGGGCTAGTCAGGGGGTGATGGGCACCCAGAGAGGGAGTGGCCAGTGGGTTCTGTGGGCAGATGACAAGGGCATCTGGGCATGAGGGAAATGGCACAGTGTCTTAAACCAGCCCCTGTTCTGGGAACCACTTGCAGGTGGGAATAGCTGAAGCAAGGTGTGCTGGGAAGGGGCTGGTGGAAAGGGCAGGGAGGAGGACTCAGGACTCAGGACTCAGAGGACAGGCACGGAGTAGGTCCCAGAGGTCCTGCAGGTTGGCCTAAGGAATCTGGCCCTGGTAGTGGGACTCACTGAAGACTGTTAACTAGGTCACTGTTTTTTCCATTTTAGCAGGTAACAGAACCAGTTGGAGAACTTAAGGAAACACAAATTGTTGGGTCTTCCCCCAAAGTTTCTGAATCCATAGGTCTGAGATGTATCTGGAGAATTTGCATTTCTAACCCGTTCCCTGGGGATGCTTATGCTGGTGGCCCAGGAGCCACACTCTGAGTACCACCAGAGCAGGCAAGGGAACTGCTCGGATTTTGGCTGGGGTGGACTGGGGAGGGACCAGCTGCAACAGGGAGGTGGGTTAGAAGGCTGTTGCTTGCTGCAATGATTCAGCGGAGAGTCAAAAGAGCCTGAACCAGGTGTATGGGGTGGGGAGGAGAACGGAAGGAAAAATGTTTAAGAGGAGAATCAATAAGACTTCAGTGGTTTGGGAAAACGTAATATAAAAATCTGAGTGGATCTTATCACTATCCCAGAGTCTCAAGATGAAGGGTCTGTGTGTGTGCAATCAGAAGAACTATGCAGAGAGACGCATAGACCCTCCCCACTGCTTTGCAACTTTCCTTTCCCCTCCCTAGTCAGAATAACAACAGGGATTGTTCAAAAAAAAAAAAAAAAAAAGGAAAATGCTGCAAAGAAGGTAAAGTGGGATGATAAAATGAAATCAGAGACCAGCAGAGAATCGATCATCATCTAGAACCCAGAGGCTAGGAGAGTTGGGCAGACAGGGGTGGAGCAAGCAGGACAGACAGACCAGAGCTTCCAGCCCCGGGCCTCACTGGTAGAGCAAGTGCCTGAGTCGCTAATGGGTGTGAGCGCCCAGGGTAGAGTCCAGTCTTTTGAAAGTTAATTAATCCCTTGCTACAAGCCCCTATAGTACGTGAGCTTGGCATTGAAAGGAAGGGGCGCTGGTAAGCAAAGGCTCCCTTGAGCTGAAAAACACCTCATTTCACCTGCCTTTCCTGGGCTGCTTTCCCTGGCTTCTGCAACCTGCCGTGCTTTGGGGACTGAATTATCATTAGCATCCCCTGACCAACCTTCCTAATGTGAGCTCTTCAGGGCTTCTTCAGGCAGGGCATTTTTATCTGTGATCAGGCTAGGTGTTGAGTAAGGCTGTCTGGTGTGCTGGGAGGGTCCCTGGCTGTAGTCTCTGGCCTGCTGCTTTGGCCAGAGCCCCTCCTTCCCTGCTAGTGTATGTCCCAGCCCCTGTAGGCACATTCTAGAGGAGTGGCCCCATAGAACCCATTCTTCTGCTCCTAAGTCTGGGAGCTTCTAGAGTCGGGCTGCCTCTGGAACTCTGAGTGGAAGCAACTGAGCCCAGGGCAGCAGGGTTCCTCCAACTGTCTCTCTCAGCAGCTCTTAGGATAGGATGGAGTTGCCTCCTGCTTTGAGGATCAGAGAGTGGCAGGGCTGCTCTAAGCCTTTGTGTTGCTGGGGTCAGGCCTCAGTGCTAGTGTCTGTACACATGCAGGGTGCCCTCTTTCCTCGGCACCCAACCCAACACAAGCAGAACTGCAGCCTCCCCATGGAGGCAGGTGGGGGCAGCCAGCTCATTTGCGCATGGGTCTGGGGAACAAAGGGACTTCCTACAAGCCATGTATTGATCCTCTGGCCTTATCTTTCCCACTTAGCCTCCATACCATGAGCCTGTCTTGCCTAGAAGTGCTGGGCATTTCTAGGCTGGCAGAAGAGAGGGGTTTATGTTCAAAATCAACAGATTCTCCAGAGAAAGCTTTGTATGCTTTTTAAAAAAATTGAGGTGAAATTTCTATAACATAACACTATTTAAAAGTGAGCAATTCAGCGGCATTTATGGATTCAAAATGGATTTCCTATGGATTCAGAATGGAATTCCTATGGATTCACAATATTGTGCAACCACCACCTCTGTCTAGTTCCAAAACATTCCTGTTACTCCAAAGGAAACTCTTTTACCCATTAAATGGTTGCTTCCCATTTCTCCTTCTCCCCAACCCTCAGTAACCACCAATATGATTTCTGTCTGAATAGATTTGCCTATTTCATATAACTAGAATCATACAATAGGTGACATTTCATGTAACTAGAATCATGAAATATGGACATTTCACATAACTAGAATCATACAATATGTGACCTTTTCGATCTAGTTTCTTTGACTTAGTATAATTATTTAAAAGTCCATCCATGCTGTAGAATGTATCAGTACTTCATTCCTTTTTATGGCTGAATAATATTCCATTGTAGGTACATACCACTTTTCATTTATCCACTCATCCACTGGCTAACCTTTTGGTTATCGTGAATAGTGCTGCTATGAGTATTTGTGCACAAAGATTTGAGTACCTATTTTCAATTATTTTGAGTAAATATCTATGAGTATATGCCTATAGGCTAATTTGATGCTTAAGTTTTTGATGAACCTACATGCTTTTAGTTCAGGGGTTTTCATACCTCAGCCTGACCCCACTAGAGTTCCCAGGGCACTATAACTGCTTAGGTGGGGGTGAGAGATGGCTCCGAGGTTCTAGCTCAGGCAACTGGAGCCATGGGTGAATGGCAGTGCTATCACTGTGGGGAGCACTCGTAGATGGTGGGAGACAAGTTCCACTGGGACCTGTAGGATTTGAGGTGCCAGCTGGATTCCCACATGGACGTGGCTGGGGGAAGAGGTAGGTATGTTCATCTACAACCACAGGGAAAGGTCTGGGCTAGAGACCGAAGAGGCTGAGGATATTATATTCACGTGTCTTTCTTCACTGAGCCCTCACCATTTTCCCAGGCACCGTTCTAAGCACTTTCCATTATTCAATAATCCCAACAACTCTATAAGGCTCTACGAAAATCCTCATTTTCCAGAAAAGGAAAAAAAGTTTGATCTCCCTCAGCATTTCTTATAGTCCACAAAGACAGAGCTCATTGGTTTTATTGCTGTTGTGTTTCTGGCTGCATTCCTAGAAGACGGAGCTCCTTGTGGGCAGGGACGGGGCTTTCCTCACTGCTCCTCTGAGCCTGACTCAAGCCAGCAGGCTTGCCCAACATGTGTTGAGGGTGGATGGACTTCCTGAACTAGTGCTTTACAGTGAGCAGAGAAGAGGGCCAAGAGGGACATCTGGAGAACCCCAGCACTTAAAGGGCAAGAGTGAAAAAGCATAATCAGTAAAAGAGACCAAGAAAAACTACTCGAAAGGGCAAAAGGGAACCAGAGAGAACCCAAGAGGAGATGTTTTTGGGTGAGTTAACCCATCTCCAGAACACTTTGCATATGGACATTTGGGAGCAATTCCCAGGATGATGG